GGAAGGGTGTGGGGAGGGGGAGGAGGGAAGCACGTGGCAGGAGCCACACAGGCACCTCCATGGCCTCCATGTCTTCACTGATCATTAACATCTTCTGGAATCGTCTCCTTTCCATAGGAAGGTGACAAGTCCCTGAACAAACCCAACCATTGCTGAACAGACTGGAGACAAGCAGGCGGCAGATGCTCCATCTCTCCCTAGGGAATGCAGGTAAGGGGACCCAGGGTGTGTGTGTGTGTGTGTGTGTGTGTGTGTGTGTGTGAGAAGTCAGGAGTGAGGTGAGCTTTGGGGGTTTGTGGGGAGAGGGGCACTTCATGGTAGAAGCCAAATCACAGCCTCCAACAGTGGTGGGGACAGACACCGGGTCCGCAGTGTGGTGGTCCCTTACAGTGCTGGGCACCGTACAGCAGGTGCGTGGGCCCTGCTGCACCTCTGGGACCCCATGCTGGGCGGAGCCCCTGGTCATCTGCTGACCACAGTGCCCCGAGCCCAGGCGCCCGGGCTCCCACTCTGCTCTGCAGCCCATGCGTGCTGGTGGGGCTGGCCTCTCGCCCGCCTTGCCCCCGCCCCGCCCCGGCTCTGGAGCCGGCCTTCAGGTGCACAGCCCGGGCTTGGTCTGCCTTTGCCCAGGCCAGGCAGACTTGGGGGACACAGTTCCTTTGATGTTAAAACAGGGGGAACCAGGCAGCTGCATCTCCCAGACCTGGGAGCTCGGCCGGCCAGGGTTAAAGCTGTCACGGTGTGTGAGGAAAACGGAGGAGGGAGGAAGGAAGCAGGCTGGGCTGGAACTGTGGGAGGCGAGGCACAGCCATTGGCCATCCCGCAGGCTTGGGGCTGTGTTGGGGGGGGCGTTGGAGTCAAGGGTTTTGTGGAGTCTGAGCAAGGAGACGGGGTGACATGAGCTTAGTCTGGGGGTCGTGACTGCGGGTGCGGGCAGACATAGGGAAGTACTCCCTTGGCCGTGTCTCCAGCTGTTGTAATGCTCACGGCTCTCCATCTGTCTTATCGAGGTGGTTTGACTTTTGCAGGACACAGTTCACCAGTGGCCAGCCTCTTGACCCTTTCCAGGCCACACAGCTCAGCCTCCCAGCCCTGCGGGCAAGGCCCACCCCGGAATGTTCACAGCCAGGCTGGGCCCGATTGTCCTGCCTGCCATGGGCAGTCCGCACCAGTCTTGGTTGGCCTACCGCTGTCTGTGCCCCCACGGGGGCTCTCGGGCACTCTTGTCCCTTTCCTAGATGCAGATCATGTGGAGGAGATGGCAGGAGCTTGGCTCCTTACGCTGCCGACACCCAGCCACCCTGCAGCTCCTGGGGCCCCCGGGGCCATGGGTGCTTCACGGAGGGTCCAGAAGCTGGCCAAATCCTGCCCGAGTGTAAGAATGGCCTGCTGGTCCCTTCCCGCAGGCGACCAACAACCACACAGAACCTTAACACAACTATATGTGTAATTGTGGAGATTGAGCTCAGGGCTCGACACTTGCTGGGAAGGTGTTCTACCTCTTGAACCACACCCCCAACCCTTTAATTGCTTTGATTTATTTTTCAGATAGGGTCTTGCACATTTGCATGGGCTGGACTTTGACCTCGAGCCTCCTACTTCTGCTTCTTGAGTTGCTAAGGTTACAGGTGTGTACTACAATGATAGTCCTAAATAATCACACTCAATTTTTTTTTAAGTAAAATTTGTTTTGCCTTGAAGCCCTGGACCTCAGCATTACCCAGTGGGCTTCTTAAACTCCTGTCACTGCCCCTCCGACCCTGCGATTAAGAGCCAGAGCATCTGGGGTGGGGGCTGAGCACTATGTCTTTTTTTATATTTTGTGCCAAACCTGGAGCTTGAACTCAGGGCCTGAACCATTCTCCCTAAGCTTTTGTGCTCAAGGCTGGAACTCTATTGCTTGAGCCACAGCTCCACTTTGGCTTTTTGTTGATCAACTGGAGATGAGAATCTCACGGACTTTCTTTCCTGCCCAGGCTGACTTCAAACCACGATCCTCAGATGGCAGCCTCCTGAGTAGCTGGGGACGCAGGCGTGAGCCACCAGAGCTCGGCTGCTCTAGGTTTTTTTTGTTGTTGTTGTTGTTTTGTTTTGTGTTAAACAACAAAGCTGATTCTGTTTGGTTAGAGTTTGCTCTGCTAAGGGAACTCTGGCTGAGTGAGATAACCATTAGGCCTAGATAAGGGATTGCCACACTTGCTCTGTAAGGGCCATGCAGAATATTCTAGGCTTTGTGGGCCGCAGGTTGGCAGCCATTCAGCCATGGAGGCGCAGGACCAGCCATCAGACGTAAACCATGAACTTTGCTATGTTCTTTATTAAACGCAGACGGACGTTGGCCCGGCTGAGGCTCTGGGCTGTAACTTGTCAGCCGGGGGTTCAGACACTGCAGGTGACTTGGGACAATTTCATAAACACATCTGCTTTCCAGCTCTGTCCTGGAGGCTGTTGGTGTGGGAGGTCTGGAAAGGATGTGTCGACTGATGGATGGATTCTTATCAGCTGCTATTGCTCAGTCATTCTGACATAGATACTCTTCCTCCTCCCACTCTCCCCAAACAACCCCTGCGCACTTGCTGCTCCATTTTTCACAGCTGTCCATGGAAGCGTGACCTTTGCCCTCCATCCTCCCCGCACCCTCCCCCACCCACCAGTACCCAGTTCCCACACGGGCCTCTTTTACATTCCTGTCATTCTTTTTTTTGCTTTTGTGGGTCATGGGGCTTGAACTCTGGGCCTGGGGCGCTGTCCCTCAGCTCTTCAGCTCAACACAAGCACTCACCACCTGAACCACAGCGCCACTTCCGGTTTTCTGGTGGATAATTGGAGATGAGAGTCTCATGGACTTTCCTGCCTGGGCTGGCGTTGAGCCGCCATCCTCAGATCTCAGCCTCCTGAGTAGCTAGGATGACAGGCGTGAGCCACCAGCGCCCGGCTATCCTGTCATTCTTTATATATACATATATGCATATATATATTATTGTAAAAATATTCTCTCATTCTTTTTTCTTGTCTCTCTCCTCTGTCTTTTTTCTTTCTTTCTTTCTCTCCGTTAGGGCCTTGTACTTGCTTTGCTTACTTGCTTGAGCCATCCTCCAGCCCTGCTTTTTGCTGGTTAGACTTCAGATGGAATCTCGAACTTTTTTTCTGGGCTGGCTTTTTACGGTGACTCTCCCCTGAGTAGCTAGGATTACAGTTTCGGCGGGGCTGGTTTTAGAGACTGAGGCAGAGCCTTAAGCAAACTGTTCAATGCCCTGAGGCGCAGGAGACAGAACAATAGGAGAGTGGTAAAGGGGGGGGGCTAATTCTCAGTAATTCCAGGCTGCAAGGATTAAGGGACTACAGCAGAGGAAATGTCATCACAAAAGACCTTCCTTTAGCGAAAAGAAAACTGCCAGTTAGGAAGAGCGTGTTCCGCCTCCTGTTTTCTCCAGAGATGACCGCTTCTCTCCCAGGGTGAGGGGCCTCCTTGGAGGGCTCCCCTCTGTCTTTAGCCTGGTCTGGGGGCCACTGTGGGCGCTTCATACAAAGCCGAGGCCTCCCGTGGGTTTGATGTGATGTGAGTTAGCATTCAATACACACGTGTGGGGTTGAAGTCTTTTTGGCCATAAAAGGTGCCAGGATTGCAGGAAGTTGCACAGACAGCGGTCACGTCGAGACACAGTCCTTCCCACAGAAGCCTCTGGGTGGAGACGGAGCTGTTCAAACAGAGAGGGGCGAGAGAGACCCAGAGTAGACATGGCTCCATATCTACCCACCAGCCACTCTGTCCGCTCATCCACCCACCCCTCCCTCCATTGCCCACCAATCCCTCTGAACCTTCATGCACAGTTCCATCCATCCATCCATCCATCCTGGAGCTCACAAAGCTCTACAGATACTTCAGAATACTGATTTGTTTTCCTTTCTTAAGCTTCTCCCACAACCCCTCCCACAGTTCTCCCATTTGGGGGAATTCAAAGTGCCCAGAACACCACAGGATGACTTATGATATGATCATTATGCTGTGTTCCTCTTGGGTATTTCATGACACTTTACAGTTGGCAAAGCCTGAAGCTTCACAGGAATTTGGCAACTGTGCAGCTCAAGCCGGCCAGGAGTTAGCAGACATGGGCTCATGGAGACAGGGTACCCCCTCTCAACGATCCATTAGATAGATAGATAGGTAGATAGATAGATAGATAGATAGATAGATAGATAGATAGATAGTTAGATAGAAAGAAAGATAGAAAGATAGATAGATAGATAGATAGATAGATAGATAGATAGATAGATAGATAGATAGATAGATAGAAAGATAGAAAAATAGATAGATAGATAGAAAGATAGGTAGGTAGATAGATAGATAGATAGATAGATAGATAGATAGATAGATAGATAGACAGGATTAAATGGATGGATGGATTGGATTGATAGATAGGTAGGTAGATGATAGGTAGGTAGGTAGATAGATAGATAGGATTAATGGATGGATGGATTGGATTGATGGATAGGTGGATAGATAGGTAGTAGATGATAGGTAGGTAGGTAGATAGATAGATAGGATTCATGGATGGATGAATGGGTAGATGGATAGATGATGGATGGATGGGTGGGTAGATGTATGAATGGGTGAATAATAAATGGGTAGATGGATGGTTGGGTGGAAAGATAAGGAAATAGATTATAGGGTAGGATCAACAGCCAGGGGAGGTGCCAAGGCCCAGCCCAGGAGCCTCCCCAGCCTCTGTGTCCAGGGCAGCCTCTCTGGGAAGCCCCTTCACACCCCTCTGAGCCCCAGGCCCTGTTGGGGTGTGGGGAGCCTGTGGCTCTGATCCCCGGGGCCTGGCCAAGGACCAGCGGCACGAGTGACCCAGGGCTGTCTCCCGCAGCCGTGCTCTGAGCCCCAGGCCCTGTTGGGGTGTGGGGAGCCTGTGGCTCTGATCCCCAGGGCCTGGCCAAGGACCAGCGGCACGAGTGACCCAGAGCTGTCTCCCGCAGCGGTGCTCGGGCGCAGCGCGATGGACCGGGTGCCCATTGTCTGTGACTATGGCTCTGGCTTCAGCAAAGTGGGCTTTGCCGGGAACAAGGACCCGCTGGGCGTCTTCCCCACCGTCCTGGGAAAGCTTCGGCACGACGTGAGTGGGGGGGCTGGGCTCGGGGAGGGGAGCATATTGGCTGTGGCCTCAGCTGCCCAGCCGGGCCCCGCCCCCGAACCTCCATCACAGACCACTCAGGAAGGACTGGCCGCTCCCTGGTTTGTGGGTTCGCCCCCCCCCCCCCGCGTGACCCTCTGTAAAGTCGGTCATCTGCCAGGATCTTGTTTCTAAGTGTTACCCCATCCTGGGAGAGCGGGCTAGGGGTTCACACCCTGCCGTTCCCTAGAGGGCAGCTGCCCTTGGGGCCCAGCTAGCCTCCTGGGGGACACCGGGAAGGGGGCTGCCGCGCAATGGCAGCACTCAGAGGGGCTGCTCCTGGCCATGTCCCCTGGACCCAGGAGGACAGGAAAAGGCCGGGGCAGTGGGGGAGGCCTGAGGCCTGAGGCAGGCACTGGTAGAGCCAGGGAGGTCCCCGCCCCCTCCGGCATGCTGGCCTGGCGACTCTGGCACCGGCAGCCCTGGGAGGCGCAGCTCTGTCCACACTCTCTCCCCTCCCTCCCGAGGCGGTCTGTTCACCCGAGGCCAGTCAGGCCAGTCCGTTGGCAAGTCCCTCCGGAGCGATAGGAAGAGCTGATCTGTGTGGAGCTCAGCCTGGTTGCCTTGCTCAAAACCAGCGGCAGACCCTTCCCCAGCCGGCCTTGCAAGTCGGCGCACCCCTCCCCCCAGCCTTCCCGACACGTGGCTCTCCACGCAGGCGCAGCCAGATGAGCGCTTCACCCCGCAGACTGTGCTAAAAGCGCCTCTTATTTTTTATTTTTTTGGCACTTGTGGGGCTTGAACTCAGGGCCTGGGCGCGGTCCCTGAGCTCTTTTGCCCAAGGCTAGCCCTCTACCACGTTGAGCCGTGGCGCCACTTCTGGTTTTTGATTGCTTAATTGGAGATGAGTCTTTGGGGGATTTTCCAGCCTGTGCTGGCTTCAAACTGTGATCCTCAGATCTCAGCCTCTCAAATAGCTAGGATGACAGGCGTGAGCCACTGGCAGCCGGCACTAAAAGCTCTTATTGAAACTGCGCAGGGTTGAAGAGGGGCCTGGTGCCCCATCTAGGACCAGAGCCCGCTGCCAGTGGCTGCTCGGCATTCAGTCACAGGAAAGCGGAGGGCAGGGGTCTGGCCCTAACGGCCTCCCAAGGCCAATGCACCTGCCTGTGTTTTCCAGAGGGTGTTTGTGGGCCTGGAGGAAGAGGATTGGTTCATTGGCAGCGAGGTCTACCAGAATCTGGAGAAACTCAGCCTGCACTACCCCATCAGCCGGGGAGCCATCCACAGCTGGGATGACCTGGAAAAGGTGGGGTGCAGCTCCCACAGGGGCTGGGACAGTGGTGGGGCTGAGGGCAGCTCCCTCTGGGCCCCTGGATGGCCAGGACCTGGGGGTGGGCCTGGGCCCCGGCAGGGGACCCCAGGGTGGGGCCGCCGGGACTTTGCCTCTCTTGCTGTCAGTCCCTCCAGACAGCACCCGGGTGGCCTCAGCCTCAGCCCTGAGCTCGAGCCCTTCCTCCTCTGCTGCTTACGGAGCTCCTCTGGAAAGTCTCTGCCCTTGCTGTTTGAATCTTTGGCCATAGAACCCTCAGATTTGTGCTGCTGCCGCTGCTGCTTTTTTTTTTCTTTTGTGTCGGTCGTGGGGCCCGAATTCTGGGCCTGGGCGCTGTTCCTGCTCACTTCAGTTCAAGGCTAGCGCTCTACCACTTGAGCCACAGCGCCACTTCTGGCCTTTACTGCTTATGGGGTGCTGAGGAATCGATCCCAGTGGTTGCCAGGCAAACACTCTACCACTGAGCCACCTTCCCAGTCCTTGTACTGCTTCTTTAGGTAGACAGATGGACAGGTTAGATGACAGACAATATGTGATGGGGAAGAGATGATGAATGTGTAGGTGACAGATGCAGTAGAGCAGGCAATAGGTACACAGGTGACATATGGTAGATACAGAGATGGTAGACGACGCAGGGATGGCAGATAGACAGTAGACAGGCAGATACAAGAGATGGTAAACACATGGATGGATGGTTGGATGGATGGGTGGATGGATGGGTGGATGGGTGGATGGATGGATGATGGATGGATGATGAATGGATGGATGGATGATGGATGGGTGGATGGATGATGGATGGGTAGATGGATGGATGATGAATGGGTGGATGGATGGATGGGTGGATGGATGGGTGAATGGATGGGTGGATGGATGGATGGATGGATGGATGGGTGGATGGATGGATGATGAATGGATGGGTGGATGGATGGATGATGAATGGATGGGTGGATGGATGGATGGATGGATGATGGATGGATGGGTGGATGGATGGGTGGATGGATGGATGGGTGGATGGATGGATGGATGGATGGATGGATGGGTGGATGGATGGATGATGAATGGATGGGTGGATGGATGGATGGATGGATGGATGGATGGGTGGATGGATGGGTGGATGGATGGATGGGTGGATGGATGGATGGATGGATGGATGGGTGGGTGGATGGATGGATGATGAATGGATGGGTGGATGGATGGTAGATGGACAGATGGTTAGATGGGTGAATGGATGAATGATAGACGATGGATGGATGATGAATGGGTGGATGGATGGGTGGATGGATGGATGGATGATGGATGGGTGGATGGATGGATGGGTGGATGGATGGATGGATGGATGGGTGGATGGATGGATGATGAATGGATGGGTGGATGGATGGATGGATGATGGATGGGTGGATGGATGGGTGGATGGATGATGGATGGATGGATGGATGATGGATGGGTGGATGGATGGTGGATGGATGGGTGGGTGGATGGATGGATGATGAATGGATGGGTGGATAGATGGATGGATGATGGATGGGTGGATGGATGGGTGGATGGATGGATGGATGGATGGATGGATGATGGATGGGTGGATGGATGGTGGATGGACAGGTGGTTAGATGGGTGAATGGATGAATGATAGATGATGGGTGGATGATGGATGGATGGATGGATGGATAACACACAGATGGGTGGATGATGGAGGGACAGATGGATGACGGCATCTGGCTGTAGAGCTGGCTCCCTTCTCTCACAGTAGTGGCTTACCCTACTCTCTCTCCTCCAGATTTGGCATTACTCCTTCTATCACCTGCTCCACAGCAACCCCAAGGAACATCCTCTGATGCTGTCAGAGCCACCTTTAATCCCCTTCTCTGTCAAAGAGATTGCATCTCAGGTAACAGCCCCTGCTGGACATGCTGTGGGGTGTCCCTTGGAGCTCTGACTGCCTTCGGAGCCAGGGAGGCTCCCATGAGTCCTGCTGGCCATGGAGGGGCAGGTTATGGCTAGCATGTCTACGGGGTGGCTGAGAGGGAGGCTGGAGCCCATCACTGGCCCCTGCGTGGAGCCTGGGCCGTGGGCAGAGCGGTGGCCTCCCGGGCCGCCAGGCTGTCGGCCTGCTTGTGTTTCTCCCCAGATCCTGTTCGAGACCTTCAAAGTGCCTGCCCTGCACTTAGCCAACCAGGGAGTGCTCGCCATGTTTGCCTCGGGCCACACCTCCGGTGAGTGGGCCCCTCTGCAGGGTCTACCCCACAGCACACACAGCCCCGGCCCTGACAGCAGTCCCCGACAGACACAAAGGCCAGCCCCCCAAGCCTGTCTAACGCCTTCCTTCCATCCCTCACGGTGCTGCTGCTGCTGCTGCTCCTCCTCCTCCTCCTGCTGCTACTGCTCCTCCTCCTCTTCCTCCTCCTCCTCCTCCCCTCCTCCTCCTCCCCGTTTCTCCTCTTCTTCCATCTCCTTCCCCTCCTCCATCTTCTCTACCTCTCTTCTTCCTCCTCCTCCTCCATCTCTTCCTCTTGTTCTTCCTCCTGTTCCTCCTCCTCGCCCTCCCCTCCTCCCTTTCTCTTCCTCCCCCCTCTTCTTCCTCCTCCCCCTCCCCTTCCTTTTCCCCTTCCTTCTCCCCTTCCGCCTTCTTCCTCCCCCTTCTTCTCTTCCTCCCCCTACTCTTCCTCCCTCCTCTCCCCCTCTACGTTTCCTCCTTCTCCTCCCTCTCCCTCTCCCCTTCCTCCACCTCTCCCCTTCCCTTCTCCTCTTCTTCCCCTCCTACTGTCCCCTCTTCCCCCTCCCCTATTCCTTCCCTTCCCCTCCTCGCTACCCCCCCTCTTCCTTCCCTTCCCTTTCTCCTCCTTCCCCCTTCTTCCCTTCGCCTCCTCCTCATCCTCTCCTTCCTCCTCTCCTCTCCTCCCCCTCCCTTCTCCCCATTCCCCCTCCTCCCTTCTCTTCTTCCTTCCCCCATCCCTCTCACTCCTTCTCCACCCTCCTCCTCCTCCTCCTCTTTCTCCTTTTTGTGCCAGTCTCAGGACCTGGGCGCTGGGCACTGTCCCTTAGTTTTTTCACTCAAGGCAGACGCTCTACCACTTGGGATATCAGTCTCACAAGCATTTTTGCCCAGGCTGGCTTCAAACTTTGAGCCTCAGAGCTCAGCCTCCTGAGAGCTGGGATTTCAGGCAGGAGCTGTCTTCTTCACTGGCTTTGCTGAGGAAGATACAGGAGCCCGGGCTGGGTGAGGCTGCTGAAAGGGGCAACCTCGATCCAGACATGCTGTATTCATCAACGGCTTTATGGAATGGAAACTCCTCTGTACAACTACTTAAAGACACTCTCTCTCTCTCTCTCTCTCCTTGCGTGTGCGGGTTTCTCTCTCTCGCCCTGCGTGTACGGGTGTCAGGTTCTCTCTCTCTCTCTCTCTCTCCCTCTCTCCTTCTCTCCCTCCCTCCCTCCCCCTGCGTGTACGGGTGTCAGGTGAACCACCTCTTACTGACTCTGGATGCACTATGAACCCACCAGAACCAGTGTTCCGTTCTGCTCCCGATCTGTCTGCAGCCGGCCTCAGCCCATGCAGAGACACGGGTTCGCGTCTTTAGGTTTTGTATAAATGGAACTGCGATGTGAGGACTCTTCTGTGCCTGTTTTCGATCTGCACACTGGCTGGCAGACGTGTCTGATTAATTGTATGTCTCCAAAGTTGATTCTCGTTCTTGCTGAGTAGGCTCCCCGTGTGAACGCCCCACACTTTGCCTGTTTATCCACGAATGACTGGAATTGGGCCTATTATGAATAGCACTGCCAGGGCCATTTGTGTGCACGTCTTCGTGTGGCCAGAAGCTCTCACTCTTTTTGGGTAAACAGCTGGACAGGGAGTGGCTGGTGTCTGTCTGTCTGTCTCGGTCACTCTATCTTGTCTCTCTCTGTATCTCTCTTTCTCCCTCCCCCCCTCTGTCATTCTCTGCCCGTGTCTCTCTCCTCACATACATGCACGTGCTGGGGTTTGAACTCACAGCCTCCTGCTTGCTGGGCAGGTGCTCGACCACTTCAGTCACATCTGGCTTAATGGGATCTATGGGCTTCTACTGTAAAACGGTCAGCGTCCTGCCCTGCCTTCAGAGGAAGAGGTTGACCTTGACCCTTGGCCTTCCTCTCCCCCCACAGACCTGACCGTGGAGGAGGAGCGCACCCACCGTGCGCGCTTCGTGACCGCCCGCATGTTCTCTGATCTAGGGATGACGATCGAGTCTGGAGAGGGCATGACTTACTTTGTGCCCGTCATCGATGGCTGTCCTTTGAGTCGCTCCACCACCAAGCTCGACATCGCCGGCCAAGACCTCACCTTCCACCTCATGCACCTGCTAGACAGGGGGAACCTGCTCCTGGGCACAGGTAGGAAACCGCGGCGCTCAGTGAGCGGCTGAGCCGGGCCGGGGTAGAGACCTCTGTGGGCGCTTCGGCCTGTGCCGCCGTCTGCAAGCCGGGCCTGCTGCACCAGCATTCAGATCCTACTTCAGTCTGCCTACAGTTAGGGACACGGAGCGGAGCGGCAGGGAACCCACCAGAGAGCAATGACTTTGAGGATGATGACGGGGGTGGGGATGGTGGTCCTCCAGCTCCAGGAAGAGAGCGTCTAAGAAGGTCAAGAATCTGCCTAGATCCAGTCACTTGGCAACTGGCAGAGATGCCATGTGAATCTGGTGTTGTCCTGAAGCCCAGGGGCAGGTGGGAGGGGAGAGCCCGCGTGCAGGTAGGGGCGGTGGGCGTGGCCGGCAGGAGAGCTGGGAGCGCCTGCGGCTCTGGCGGGACAGATGTGGACGGGCGCAGGCGTGGGGGTTACAATTAAGTCCAGTTGGGTCTCGAGCCTCCCCCTCCGTGCACACCCCGTGGGGAAGATGCCCACATTGCCCGGCCCTGCGCGGCCTTGTGGCTCCGGAAGCTCTGTTTCCCTTCCCTCCTCCTGTCCCGGGCCTGCCCCGGCACAGGCCGCCTGCGCTGCTGCCCCGTGTGGACAGCTGGCTCTGGCCCCACGCCCCGCCCCCTCTGGTCCTGCAGCTGACCGAGAGTGCATCAGGAACATGAAGGAGAAGTGCTGCTTCGTGGCGCAGGACTTTGACAAGGAAAAGGAGAGCAGCCGGGCGCTTTCCCAGCAGAAGACCTTCCAGCTGCCCGACGGCCGGGAGGTCAGCCTGGGCCATGAGGCCTTCCTGTGCCCCGAGGCCCTTTTCCAGACCAGCCTAATAGGTGAGCCCGCGAGGGAGCAGATCAGCCCGGGTTACCGGAAAGCAGGCGCTGGGGTGGGCAAGGGGGGGGATGCCGGTTTGAGCAGCAAATGGAGGCGGGGCGAGGTGGCTCACACCTGCCGTCCAGACAGAGGCGGGAGGACCGTGCATGGGAGCCTGGCCTGGGCTACACAGTGAGACCCTAGCTCCAACAACCAAGGACAGCTCTTCCTGCGCCTGCTGCCAGAGTGACTCGGGGCACGCTGGCCCTCAGGACCCCCTGGGGCAAGGAACTGTAGACATTTGGTATCCATGAGCATGTGAGCCCAGAGCCTGGGTGCCAGGGACGGCCGGTATGCCCAGGACACGGCGCTCGGCGCCCTGGGAATGTGGGAGTCATTTTTCCATGATGAACCCGGGCTAGAGACTCGCCTCCCTCTGGCAAATGCAAGGCTTCTCTTCACCGTTTCATTTAAGCGTGCTAATTTTAATGTTTTCTGGGCATCATTTGCTCTGCGTGTGTACGTGTGCATGTGTGTGTGTGTGTGTGTGTACATGTGCGCAAATGTGCACTGCATATGTGTACTGGTACTGGGACTTGAACTCAGGCCTGGGCGTGTCCCTGAGCATTTTCACTCAAGGCTGGCACTCTACCACTTCAGCCACAGCCTCACTTCCAGTCTTTTGGTGGCTCAATGAAGAGTCATAGACTTTCCTTCCTGGGTTGACAGTAAACCGTAGCCCTCAGATCTCAGCCTCCTGAGTAGCTGAGATCGCAGGCGTGAGCCACTGGCGCCCGGCTATTACCTGCTTTTGTGGGGAGGCAGCTTTTAAGGCAGGGAGACACAATTGGCAAATCGCACACATTTTGTGTTTGAAATCCTGTATTTTAACGTGTATATTCACCACGCTTGGTCGCGGTCACGTGTGATCAATCTTTGAGTATTTGTAGCCTCACTTACTCAACAAAATAATTTGAACTATAAAAAGTTGTGACAGCCAAGCTGAAGGGGTTGTGGCCCACGCCTGGCACCCAGCCACACAAGTGGCCAGGACTCGAGAATTGTGGCGCAGAGCCAGCCTGAGCAGGAGAGTCTGTGAGACTCTCATCCCCAATTAGCCAGCAAAAAGCCAGAAGTGGAGCTGTGGTTCAAGTGGTAGAGCACCAGTCTTGAGTTTAAAAAAAAAAAAAAGGCTTTTGGACCATATATAGGCCCTAAGTTCAAGGCCCAGAACTGCCACAAAAAATGATGATATTCAAAGTAGAAAACACTAGATTTGGAAGGAACGTTAAAAAATCTGATGTCTGTAGAGGCTTTGAGCATTGAGTTGACTAAACCCTCGGGCTCAGTGGCTCACACCTGTAATCCTAGCTTCTTTGGAGGCTGACTTGGGAGGATCTCAATTCAAGGCCCGCCCTCCCTGCAGTGCCGGGAAGCCTCGGGCAGCCAGCTCCGGGTCTCTGCACACACCACCCTTGGGTGGGAGGTGAGGGCTTACTGAGAAATAACCGGCAAGGCCAGGCCCCAGTGGCCATGCTTGTAATCCTGCCTGGCTACTCCACAGGCTGAGATCCAGAGGATCACAGACCAGAGCGGCCCAGGCCTCAGCCTGTGGAGTCCTCGGTGCAGCCCCTGCGGGTTGACTCCCCAGGGCTGTGCCCTGGGTGCTGTGGAACCTTCTCCGCTGGCCACAGGGCTCCCTGTGACCCTGAGCTCCTGCTGCCCTGTGCCTCCACCAGAGGGAGGGCCCAGGAGCCGGCCTACAAGCCACACGGGGCGCCCCCCTCCTCACCCCTCCTCACCCCTCCACAGCGTGGTCACTCCCCTCCTCACCCCTCCACAGCCTGGTCACTCCCCTCCTCACCCCTCCACAGCCCGCGCCCCCCTCCTCACCCCTCCACAGCCTGCGCCCTCCCCTCCTCACCCCTCCACAGCCTGCGCCCTCCCCTCCTCACCCCTCCACAGCCTGCGCCCTCCCCTCCTCACCCCTCCACAGCGTGGTCCCTCCCCTCCTCACCCCTCCACAGCCCGCACCCTCCCCTCCTCACCCCTCCACAGCCCGCGCCCTCCCCTCCTCACCCCTCCACAGCCTGCGCCCTCCCCTCCTCACCCCTCCACAGCCTGCGCCCTCCCCTCCTCACCCCTCCACAGCCTGCGCCCTCAACCTCCACCCCTCCACAGCCTGCACCCTCCCCTCCTCACCCCTCCACAGCCTGGTCACTCCCCTCCTCACCCTTCCACAGCCTGGTCACTCCCCTCCTCACCCCTCCACAGCCTGCACCCTCCCCTCCTCACCCCTCCACAGCCTGGTCACTCCCCTCCTCACCCCTCCACAGCCTGGTCACTCCCCTCCTCACCCCTCCACAGCCCGTGCCCTCCCCTCCTCACCCCTCCACAGCCCGCGCCCTCCCCTCCTCACCCCTCCACAGCCCGCACCCTCCTCCTCACCCCTCCAAAGCCCGTGCCCTCCACTCCTAACTCCTCCACAGCCTGCGCCCTCCCCTCCTCACCCCTCCACAGCCTGCGCCCTCCCCTCCTCACCCCTCCACAGCCCGCGCCCCCCTCCTCACCCTTCCACAGCCTGGTCACTCCCCTCCTCACCCCTCCACAGCCCGCGCCCTCCCCTCCTCACCCCTCCACAGCCTGGTCACTCCCCTCCTCACCCCTCCACAGCCCGCGCCCTCCACTCCTCACCCCTCCAAAGCCCGTGCCCTCCACTCCTCACCCCTCCACAGCCTGCGCCCTCCCCTCCTCACCCCTCCACAGCCCGCACCCTCCCCTCCTCACCCCTCCACAGCCTGCGCCCTCCCCTCCTCACCCCTCCACAGCCTGCGCCCTCCCCTCCTCACCCCTCCACAGCCCGCGCCCCCCTCCTCACCCTTCCACAGCCTGGTCACTCCCCTCCTCACCCCTCCACAGCCCGTGCCCTCCCCTCCTCACCCCTCCACAGCCTGTGCCCTCCCCTCCTCACCCCTCCACAGCCTGCGCCCTCCCCTCCTCACCCCTCCACAGCCTGCGCCCTCCACTCCTCACCCTCCACAGCCTGCGCCCTCCCCTCCTCACCCCTCCACAGCCTGCGCCCTCCCCTCCTCACCCCTCCACAGCCTGCGCCCTCCCCTCCTCACCCCTCCACAGCCCGCGCCCTCCCCTCCTAACTCCTCCACAGCCTGCGCCCTCCCCTCCTCACCCCTCCATAGCCTGCACCCTCCCCTCCTCACCCTTCCACAGCCTGCGCCCTCCCCTCCTCACCCCTCCACAGCCTGCGCCCTCCCCTCCTCACCCCTCCACAGCCTGCGCCCTCCCCTCCTCACCCCTCCACAGCCCGCGCCCTCCCCTCCTCACCCCTCCACAGCCTGCGCCCTCCCCTCCTCACCCCTCAACAGCCCGCGCCCTCCCCTCCTCACCCCTCCACAGCCTGGTCACTCCCCTCCTCACCCCTCCACAGCCTGGTCACTCCCCTCCTCACCCCTCCACAGCCCGCGCCCCCCTCCTCACCCCTCCACAGCCTGCGCCCTCCCCTCCTCACCCCTCAACAGCCCGCGCCCTCCCCTCCTCACCCCTCCACAGCCTGGTCACTCCCCTCCTCACCCCTCCACAGCCTGCGCCCTCCCCTCCTCACCCCTCCACAGCCTGGTCACTCCCCTCCTCACCCTCCACAGCCTGCGCCCTCCCCTCCTCACCCCTCCACAGCCTGCGTCCTCCCCTCCTCACCCCTCCACAGCCTGGTCACTCCCCTCCTCACCCCTCCACAGCCTGGTCACTCCCCTCCTCACCCCTCCACAGCCCGCGCCCCCCTCCTCACCCCTCCACAGCCCGCGCCCTCCCCTCCTCACCCCTCCACAGCCTGGTCACTCCCCTCCTCACCCCTCCACAGCCCGTGCCCTCCCCTCCTCACCCCTCCACAGCCTACGCCCTCCCCTCCTCACCCCTCCACAGCCTGCGCCCTCCCCTCCTAACTCCTCCACAGCCTGCGCCCTCCCCTCCTCACCCCTCCACAGCCTGCGCCCTCCCCTCCTCACGCCTCCACAGCCCGCGCCCTCCCCTCCTCACCCCTCCACAGCCCGCGCCCTCCCCTCCTCACCCCTCCACAGCCCGCGCCCTCCCCTCCTCACCCCTCCACAGCCCGCGCCCTCCCCTCCTCACCCCTCCACAGCCCGCGCCCTCCCCTCCTCACCCCTCCACAGCCCGCGCCCTCCCCTCCTCACCCCTCCACAGCCTGCGCCCTCCCCTCCTCACCCCTCCACAGCCCGCGCCCTCCCCTCCTCACCCCTCCACAGCCCGCACCCTCCCCTCCTCACCCCTCCACAGCCCGCGCCCCCCTCCTCACCCCTCCACAGCCCGCACCCTCCCCTCCTCACCCCTCCACAGCCTGCGCCCTCCCCTCCTCACCCCTCCACAGCCCGCGCCCTCCCCTCCTCACCCCTCCACAGCCCGCACCCTCCCCTCCTCACCCCTCCACAGCCCGCGCCCTCCCCTCCTCACCCCTCCACAGCCCGCGCCCCCCTCCTCACCCCTCCACAGCCCGCGCCCTCCCCTCCTCACCCCTCCACAGCCCGCGCCCTCCCCTCCTCACCCCTCCACAGCCCGCGCCCTCCCCTCCTCACCCCTCCACAGCCCGCGCCCTCCCCTCCTCACCCCTCCACAGCCCGCGCCCTCCCCTCCTCATCCCTCCACAGCCTGCACCCTCCCCTCCTCACCCCTCCACAGCCTGCGCCCTCCCCTCCTCATCCCTCCACAGCCTGCGCCCCCCTCCTCACCCCTCCACAGCCTGCGCCCTCCCCTCCTCACCCCTCCACAGCCTGCGCCCTCCCCTCCTCACCCCTCCACAGCCTGCGCCCTCCCCTCCTCACCCCTCCACAGCCTGGTCACTCCCCTCCTCACCCCTCCACAGCCTGGTCACTCCCCTCCTCACCCCTCCACAGCCTGCGCCCTCCCCTCCTCACCCCTCCACAGCCTGCACCCTCCCCTCCTCACCCTTCCACAGCCTGCGCCCTCCCCTCCTCACCCCTCCACAGCCTGCGCCATCCTTCCTCACCCCTCCACAGCCTGCGCCCTCCACTCCTCACCCTCCACAGCCTGCGCCCTCCCCTCCTCACCCCTCCACAGCCTGCGCCCTCCCCTCCTCACCCCTCCACAGCCTGCACCCTCCCCTCCTCACCCCTCCACAGCCTGGTCACTCCCCTCCTCACCCCTCCACAGCCTGGTCACTCCCCTCCTCACCCCTCCACAGCCTGCGCCTTCCCCTCCTCACCCCTCCACAGCCTGGTCACTCCCCTCCTCACCCCTCCACAGCCTGCGCCATCCTTCCTCACCCCTCCACAGCCTACGCCCTCCCCTCCTCACCCTCCACAGCCTGCAACCCCCCTCCTCACCCCTCCATAGCCGGCGCCCTCCCCTCCTCACCCCTCCACAGCCTGCGCCCTCCCCTCCTCACCCCTCAGCAGCCCGCGCCCTTCCCTCCTCACCCCTCCACAGCCTGGTCACTCCCCTCCTCACCCCTCCACAGCCTGGTCACTCCCCTCCTCACCCCTCCACAGCCCGCACCCTCCCCCTCCTCACCCCTCCACAGCCTGCGCCCTCCCCCTCCTCACCCCTCCACAGCCTGCGCCCTCCCCTCCTCACCCCTCCACAGCCCGCACCCTCCCCTCCTCACCCCTCCACAGCCCGCGCCCCCCTCCTCACCCCTCCACAGCCTGCGCCCTCCCCTCCTCACCAATCCACAGCCTGCGCCCTCCCCTCCTCACCCCTCCACAGCCTGGTCACTCCCCTCCTCACCCCTCCACAGCCTGCGCCCCCCCTCCTCACCCCTCCACAGCCTGCGCCCTCCCCTCCTCACCCCTCCACAGCCCGTGCCCTCCCCTCCTCACCCCTCCACAGCATGCGCCCTCCCCTCCTCACCCCTCCACAGCCCGCGCCCTCCCCTCCTCACCCCTCCACAGCCTGCGCCCTCCCCTCCTCACCCCTCCACAGCCCGTGCCCTCCACCTCCTCACCCCTCCACAGCCTGCACCCTCCCCTCCTCATCCCTCCACTTCCCGCGCCCTCCCCTCCTCACCCCTCCACAGCCCGCGCCCTCCCCTCCTCACCCCTCCACAGCCCGCGCCCTCCCCTCCTCACCCCTCCACAGCCTGCGCCCTCCCCTCCTCACCCCTCCACAGCCCGCGCCCTCCCCTCCTCACCCATCCACAGCCTGCGCCCTCCCCTCCTCACCCCTCCACAGCCTGCGCCTTCCCCTCCTCACCCCTCCACAGCCTGCGCCCTCCCTCCTCACCCCTCCACAGCCCGCGCCCTCCCCTCCTCACCCCTCCACAGCCTGCGCCCTCCCTCCTCACCCCTCCACAGCCTGCGCCCTCCCTCCTTGCCTTTCCACAGCGGTGTCCCCCCTCCTCACCCCTCCACAGGGAGAAGCACCGAGGGGATCCACATGTTCACCCTCCGCACCATCACCTCCTGTGACAGAATCTTCTGGAAGACCCTCTTGGGCCACATTTTGCTGTCTGGAGGCACCAGTTGCTTCCCTGGCTTGAAGCAAAGGCTGCAGAGGGAAGTGGTCCGGCTGGCTTGCAGCTACTTTCATGTGAAGGTGTGCACTCCCAGCCCGGGGGGGGGGCTTCCTGCGGCCCTTCTACAGACTTTTCTAGAATATCTCAGACCTTCGGGAGCCCCAGTGCACAAAAGCTAGGCACAGCAGCTCACGCTTGTAATACCAACTATTCAGGACCCCCCCCCCCCGAACCTCTCTCTGCAGAGCTCTGGGTGGATCCGAACGTGGGCACAGCCCGATTCATTCTGCTGGTCTGTAAAGGAGGTCGCGCGTCCCGCCTGGGAGCCCTGTGCCGCGTGCCCGGCACAAGCACAAGCACCGCTGCCACACCAGTGCGCACGGTGGCCCAGAGCCACAGGGCCCTCCCGGCCCTGCTCCTGCCCTCCCTGCGCTTCCCCTCCTCCATGTCCCTCCCTCCCCCACCCCTCCCCTCCTCCCTGCAACCCCTCCCTCCTCCCTCACCCTCCTCATGGCACCCCTCCCTCCCCGTACCCATCCCCCCTCCTTGCACTCCTCCCTGCACCTCTCCCATCCCTCCTCCCCACATCCCTCCCTCCCTCATTTCTCCTCCCCGCACCCCCCTCCTTCCCATTCCCTCCTCCCCGTCTCCCCTCACCCATCCTCCCTTCACCCATCCTCCCCTCCCTGTAGGTGGCCACCTCCCCCTATGCCAAGAACAGTGCCTGGACCGGCGGCTCCATCTTGTGCTCGCTCTCGACGTTCAAGGACCTGTGGGTGACCAGGAAAGAGTATGAGGACATGGGTGCCTCCATCTTCAGCCGACGGAGCTTCTGAGCCAAGGCCCTGGGGCCACTGCCTGTGGCAGCCGTGGCCACTGGACCAGCTCCAGCAACGCCCCCCTCCAGAGTACAATAAAAGAGATGAGCTCCGGCCGACGGGGCCCTTGGACAGCCTCCCGCACCTTCCCCGCATTCCTGTGTTAGTGCAGGTCGTGGTTCTGGCCGGCCCTGGGCATCAGTCAGGACGGCTCAGCACTGCCGCGTAACAAGCATCCCCGGCTGCCATCCTCACGCTGGAGCAGGTCTCAGCCTGCCGAGTCTCCTCTCCGGAAACTTGAGGGCAGGGCAGACGCTGCCCACATGCAGTAGGTCTCTCCATTTGTTCCCTGCCACTTGAAAAAGCTTGTTTGTTTGGCTCCCAGTTCTGGGACCCAGGAAGTCCAGAGCATGGTGCACCTGCCTGCGAGCTCCAGGCTGAGTTCAAGTGCCAGGGCCGCAGGGGTGGGGGGAGGACTGCAGGGGTGGGGGAGGACTGCAGGGGCGGGGCCAGGACCGCAGGGGTGGGGCCAGGGCCGCAGGGGTGGGGCCAGGGCCGCAGGGGCGGGGTGA